AGGGCTCTGATCTGAGAATATTTCTGTCTAGGTGTGTCCAGGAGAGGAAAGGAGGCCAATCAAGGGGTGCCAAGGTCAAGCTTGGGATTGGCTAACATGGAGATCCGGCCTGTGAAAATTAGCCCTGTGGTCATTCAGACTGCTTGAGGAGGCTGTAGGTGGCCTGGCTGAACCAGGCCCTGCTGGCAAGCACACTTCATGGAGCATGACGCAGGCTCACCCTTACGGGGTAGAAGTGGGAGTCATAAGAGTAGTGTTACATTCTGGATATGTTTCAAAGGCAGGCCATGGGTGTGACTGATTGGCGACCAATCCAGAATTTTGTCTGAACAATTTCAGGGTCTTAGTTGTTATCTCCTGAGATTAGGGAAGGGTGGAAGTGGGACATTTGGATGCTGGGCAGCTAGCAGTCTCCTGTGGAATGAGGCTTGGTGCCTCCTGTGGTCTCTAATCAATTAGTGGTGACTATGTTGTCCTGTGACATGGAAGCTATGTTCTCTGTTTGCCCTCCTCCAGCCCCCTCACCCTTGGCCCTCTAGGAGAAAAGGGCCTTCTGCCATGGTGTTTTTCAGGCACCCAGGGATGGGTAAGTAACTTTGGTTGTGCTGGGTGCTTCAAGAAAGAGAGTGGCAGTTGGCACAGATGGCAGGCTTAATTTTGTCCTTTCACCACAAATCCAGTAAGGAGATATAGGCAGTGGGGGAAGGGAAGGAGAGGGAAAGGAGGAGATAGCTTTGCGAAGAGTCTTTTTCTTTGTCAGCAGGAATTGTAGGTGGGTTTAAGGAGGGCTGATATAACCTGTACCATCCTTTGAGAAAGGAAATTTCTTGTGCAGAGAAGTCTTTTTTTTTTTCTCTTCCAGAATAGTAGGTGTAAGTTATTTTGGTAAAAGCAGGCAAGAGGCTGATGTGCTGTGTCTGTGCCTGCATGTTCTGACCAGCAGCAGCAGTGTGTGACCCCAAGGCCAATTCTAGAGTAAGCATAAATATTAATCAACCCAACCCAAAAACCACTGTATAACCTCCTTGGATCTGAATAAGTCCTATTGTAAATACACAGTTGCTCCAAGGTTGGTGTTCCCATGGTAACAGTTGAAACCTCCTCTGGTTGGGCTCAGAGAAGCCAAACCAGCTCTAACTAGATTTTGATCATGATGCTGCTCCATTCCTTGGGTAAGGATTAGTCTGTTTCTGTTGTTAGGAGAATAAGTAATTTACAAAAGAGAGAAATTTATTTTCTCATGGTTCTAGAGGTTAGGAAGTCTAAAACCAAGGTGCCAACATTCTCTGGGGGCTGCTTTCAGCTTCCAAGATGGCACTTGGAATGCTGCATCCTTTGTAAGGAACTGTGTTCTCACATGGCAGAAGGTGGAAGGGCAAAGAGAGACTCAACTTGGCTCTTTTTTTTCAGACCCCCATTGCTGCTCCTAGTCATTGGGGGAGGGTGGGGAAGCCACCATATTTACCTCTTAGGAAGCGCCACCTCTTAGGACTCTCCCCATGGCAGCACCTGAAGTTGGAAGGGCACATTCTAGCCACAGCAGCTAGAATGTTAGCATATTTGGGCCAGCGCAGTGATATTACTGTACTCTTTCCATGTCTAAAGCAAAATACATTTTACCTGTGCATAATTAATGGAGATTGTGTAACAAGATGCCTTGTTCAGCTTTATAGGAATATCTGAAGGGCTTACAATGTTCACTTCTGGAGGGTAGATTATGACGAAGTGCTGTACATGCTGGGGGACTACTTCCAGCATGTACATCTAATTTCTTTCCATAAACATGAATCTGTACTGAAGTTTCTACAGAGACAACAGTTCTGTCTCAAATAGAAATGGATAGTAGGAGAGTAGAGTGAGTTTAAAGGGCTGTCGCCAGGTGAACTTTGCAAAAACTGCACTAAGAGGATGAGGGGAACAGGGTAGGCTTTGCCTGTGGGAAGAAGCCCCTGAGACTTCCCCAGAACTCCGCAGACTTCATATTTGAGGTAGGATGAACTGTCATTTGTTGTGGGTTATGTCAGGTGTCTGTGTGGATGGTGAGCTCTCGAAAGACCAGGGGTTGGGTGCTCAGCCCGGTGTGCTTGGGTCTAGAGTTGATGGCTTATTTTAAAAAAAAAGGCAAGGAAAGGAGTGTGATGGGAGAGGGGGCCATGGAATAAGGAAACAGGAAGATAGAGGCTCATCTGGCAGAGAAAAGGCAGAGTGAGAATCACGAGGTCTGGAGGAAGACTGGGGTTGTTTTCCATGCCCACCATAGTGGGTGAGGGAGGGGACAAAACAGATCCCAAATGAATGGGAGATTTGGTTATGGGGTCCTGCTTTTAGGTGATCATCTTTCCACTCCAGCAGGGAGGGGCCTGTGTAAATGGAAGCGTTCAGAATGGGAGTCCTTGGAGCTGCCTTCTGCCATATGCCCTTGCGTTATGACCCAATGATCTACAGCCACAGGACAGGATTATATGGACGGTGGGTAGAACAACTTTATCTTCCTTCACTGGCCTCAGCTAAGTCAGTTATTGACCTTTCAACTGCTCTCTAAAAAAAACAACTGTGGTGGGAGTGAGTGGTGGAAAACCAAGGCATGACACACCTCTTGACCTTGACTGTTAAACATTGCATGGAGTTGCTTACCTGGTAACTAGGTTGTTCACGGCTTGTCTACTCTCCTTCATGGGATTTGTAGAAAGGTCAACCTTGGATATCATGAGGTCCCAGAGGAGGAGGTGATTTCCCAGCATACTCTCTGGTCTGAATGCTGACTGGGCAATCTCTGAGGCCTTAAGCATTCTGCTTAAACAAACACTATTTATGTTCAGCAAGAGAACTATTCCCCATTGTCTGCTTTTCCTAACTCACATAAAACTGTACATTTAACTTCTGTTTACATATATATAAATCGTATCATTAGGGGTAGCCTGGGAAATGCTTGGTTGGAGATGAATCTTGCCCTTTGAAAACAGAAGAGTGAGTGACAGCTGTATATTGTCCTATCAGAGGCGTGGTTGATTGGGACCATGTGTTTCGCAGAAGCCATCTGAGTGAAGCTATAAACTTCTGGTGGACAAGGAAGGTGACAGCCCAGTTCTCTTTAGTAAAAGGCGGTTGCCAATATCTGCCTTCCAAGTGGAGGGCTAGTGGCAAAGCAACTGAAAAACTCGGGGCGCTCTAAGAAGCCGAGAGAGCCTAAAGATAACAATTTGTGACGAACTCTGTGACGAACTGATCTAGACTTGACCTGTAAGAGCATCCCTATGTGGGCAGGAAGGATGGGCGGGAGGGAGCAGAGGAAGAGACTGGGTTAAATTTGGTCAAATTCACCTTATATTTGCTTCCCCATTCTTTCCAAGACTGTATCAACACTGGTCATTTCTGAATTGGCACTGAGTGACTTGGGACGATCACCTTCTCCAATTTAACTTATATCCAATTTATATTGAGCCTGAATCATGAAGTCTTTATTTATTTAGCTCAGCTAGCTCACTGAACAAAACGGGGTAAGAGAGATCAAAGTGTTTGTTTTGCTTTTTAAGTTAGCTGTCTACAGGCTAGCTCACCAAAAAAAAAATTTTTTTTAACCCGAGAATCATTAAGTTTGATTATTCCTTTTTGGCTTATTTGCAGGATGAAAAGATGCGCTATGGAGAAAAAAGTGAGAATTGCTATTTTAGCTCATGCTTTAGTTGTATATTTGTTTAGGAGTACTTTCCGATGTTTTACAGTAACTTCAAAGGAAATGGTAGTGATGTATACATTTGGGTATGTTGACTTCAGACAGGGCTTTGCACAGAGGTTCTAAGATAACATTTTCTCTGCGAAGCATTTATCAGTGCTTGTTGGTCATTTTGTGGGTCTGAGTTGGCTAAATGCTTTCATCTTTTTTTTTTCCTCTCTAAGACACAAAGTTTGGAACTTGATCGCTAACGTCTTTCTTGTTTATTCTACTGGGCAACACTAAGCTTTGAAAGACAGACTGGCTTCCTTCTCAGTCCAAAGTGGAAACACAAAGATGATGGTGGGAAATAACATGAAGTAGCCATAACAGTCTTTCATCTCCCTGCCATTCCAGGGTTAGTTTGGACAGTGATGATAAAGGCGATTACCACCAGTGAGTGCTTCAGCATGTGCGGCACCTGATAGGTCCTCTGCTGGAAGGAATTAGCACTTTTTTTTCCCCACACCTTGCACCCTGTGTGGGCTGCTGCCTTTACAGGCCAAAAGGCTGAAGTGTGAATGAGTTTTAGTAACTCTTGACCATTCTGATCCTAATGTCCTACGTCGTTCGGGGCTCATTTACTTTGTTCTGGTTGCTTATAATGATAATCAAGGACTTTAGTATAACTCTCAGATAGCAGCTGGTCAAATTTCCAAGCATTTACACAGCTTCCATAAACGTTTCATAACTGTCATCTTTTAGTAACCTCAGATCGGTGGGGAAGGATGGTGTGTGTGTGTGTGTGTGTGTGTGTGTGTGTGTGTGTGTAGGTGGCCATATACACATGAGAATAATTGCGAGGTTGCATGAGGATCGACTGTATTGGCTATGAAGCTCAGTCTCCACTTAAAATGCATAACCAGAATTCTATTATATCCATACCATGCACACCTGTTGGCTGGAAGCCATGGAGTCATCATCTATCATGAGACACCTTCCCTTGCTTTCCTTCTAGAAGGTACTATGGCTTTCTTGCCGTCTCCTACATAGGGCTGGCAATAAGATGACCAGTCTTTTTGTACACAGTACTTGGCCAGAATGCATGTATACCTACCATTGCTTTTCCTCTGGGTTCATTTACTGAGCTGGCCTTTCTGAGCATGGGACCCCAGCTTCCCAGGGAAAGGCCCAAAACTGCAATTCCTCCATTTCACCAAGAGATTTGCAATTTGTTGGGAACCACTCAATTAGTGAACAGGGCCTTTTTCACCCTTTGCATAAAACATGAAGGGAATGCTGAGTTTAACAGAGACTCTGACGCAAGATTTAAATAAATAAGCTGTATTATCTGTACAAAAAATATAAATACAGTTTTGTGTTTTAGAGGAGGAAGGGCCTCCTTCCACATTATCCAGCAGCCCCGATAATTTCTGGTACTGCTGAGTCACAATTCACAGAACAAATATTAAATGTACATTCATCTCAGGCAAGGAGCACACTGCTTTCCGCTTCAAACCCAAGCTCTCCAACTTGTTCTGAAAGGCACTTCCAACCTCACATTCTGACACATGCAAGATCTGGAAGATGCCTCTTCTTAGCAAATTCAAACATTGGCCACCAATTTTCAATAGCTACAGAACTAATCAACTGTATTAGTATTACAGAATTTGTGTTCGATTCATGTATAGCTAGTGTCAAAAACAAATCAGCTCTATTGCCCGACCCCCACCCCACATTAGCTTTTGCAATGTACTCTGTACACAGAGAATAATTGATCAGAGTTCAACATCAGTTTTGTTTCTTTTAAAATTAGGAAGAATACAATTATTGCCAGAGTTTTAAGGAACACAGCTGCAGGAAGTTAATAAAATTCCCCAAAGAGTTTTTGTTTTTCTGGATGACAATGTACAATTACTAATATTGCACTTTTTTTTATACAAGAAATCCTAATAAATATTCACAAAAGATATACATAGAAACACTCTCTTTTATTTTAAATAAACATTACACTGATTTTTAGTAACACATTTTTTTAGAGCCTATTTTTGTGATGAGGAAGAGGCCCATCCTAATTGTCCACAGCGCACCTAGGAAGACACTGTTGTGGATATAAACATGTTTTTGTTTTGGTCCCAGGTGTGGGACGTGGGACTGATTCAGATGGTCCACAGCAGCAGGCTTGGAGAGGAGCTCTTTGCCAGCCACAGATAGTTTGAATCTGAGGACTCTAGAGAGAGACTAAATGCCAGAGCCCAGAGTGTGTGAAAGAAGAGAGAAAGAACAAGGCCTCTCCTGCTTCCCCCTTCCTGCTCCTGGTTGCTGTTGTGAAACAAGAAGTTGGAGATCCACTGAAATGAGGACTGGAATGGCTCCAAGGGACCCAATGACCCTGATCAGCAGGAAGCAGCTAAGAAAGAACTGTGCCCCTTCTCCCACTAACCCTTTTATCTCTGCTACCTGGTGTTGGGGTTTTGGAAGGGATTGGGGTGGATTAGGGAGAAAAAGATATAAGAAATGTAAATAAGAGATTTTTAAAAGTACACCTACAAGACACAGATTAATGTTGTCTTCCTAACTTAACTTCCCAGCTGGCTGGGAAATGTAGCCTTGATGTCAGTGGTGGCCCTGGGTGGTAGCATTTGGTGAGTGTGCACATGAGCGGTGGCTCATCTGATGGGTACTGGGCTCTGGATGCCCAATCTGCTAATCTAAGACTGTTCAGGGGAGGAAGCAAATATTACTGTCAAAGCTTCTCTGCTGAATGAGGATTTGCCAAGGGCTTTTGTTTTAGCCATATCTGATATATGTTACTGAATCCTGTGTGCTTCTTGGCCCACTGACTGGTGAGCTAATAGGCAGATAGCATTTGTGTCGGGAGGATCGCTGAAAAGCTTTTGACCTGTCCTCTGGCTTTACCATAGCACCTTATTACACCCCTCCCCCAAGCCTGCTGCGTGACCAGGATGCACAACAGCTCTTCTGTGGTACTGGATGGGCCCACAGGCCCAATGTGTGTGGCTGGGATAGACAAGGCACACCGTGGGCATGCACTGACCCCTCTGTCCTCTCCTGTTTCCTGGCCAGCTCTGGTGGGAAGGGATCCCACACCCGTTACATGCTTGCCAGCTAACAGATTGCTTGATGAATCCTTTGTGAGCAATGACTCTAGTCCCTGGCCCAATGGGCAGCAGCAGAGTCATTCAGATAGAAAACACAGAGTACTCATGCTCAAATACCTTTGGCCCACAACAGCAGTTAGTCCAGGGCTAGTGACCCTTGATTTAAGCGAGGAGATGCTCCGGGCTGCCTGACTACACAGCCAGACCCTGACCCCTTGCTGGGTTTTCCACAGCTGCAGACACAAAGGTTACTTGGTAGAATAGAGAGTAGAGGCATGTCTGTAATCCCATGAAGGGCTCACCTTCTATCATGCAGCATGGGCACCCTGAGAAGATGCTGAATACCCTTCCCCACCTTTGCTGAACCCACAGGACTGTGCACATGTACCAGGGCACAGGCTTGTCAGATGGGTCCCCTGTGGCTGCTTGAAAATCTGTCCTGCCTGCTAGCTTCTCCCATCAAGGAGCACACATGAGCTTCCCTTCCTTTCCTTTTGCTTCTGTCTTCTGTCTAACTGTATGCCTTCTGTCTACTCTGTTTGTCTCTTTTGGTGAAACCCGCCTTCCCCATAGTTCATTTCTCTTCTTTCTTGGTTTCCCACCCCAATTCCAGAAGAACTAGATTCTAGCCTGGTTTCTACTCCAGTATGGTGTTCCCCTGGTTCTTACCATCATATCACCAGGAAGCGAAGGAATGGCACTCCTCGTTGGCCTGTGCCTGTCCCTATTTGTTACAATCCTTAGCTCCTTGCTGTCCCTTACTGGCTTGCTCTCCCTGTGTCTCTGAGACGCTGAGTGGGAAGGAGCCAGCTCTGCAAGGGAGCTGCTGTCTACCTGGCCTGCTCTGCAGCCTCCTTTAGACATCTCTTTTTCTATTCTCAACACTTGCCTCCAGCTAACTGAATAAGAAAACATGCCAAGGTCCTCAGGAGCATGGGTGCAGGTGGACATGGGTGTGTGTGGGAGGGAAAATAAATAAATAAAAGGAAGAATGCATAAGTCATGTCCAAGGTGGCTGTATGAGTCCTTTGTGTGGCCAGGGTAGAGTTCGGCCCCGTGCCCTGTCTTCAGGCTTTGCCACATGTTCCACAGCAGCGAGATCGGAACTGGCCGAGCTGGCAGAGTTTCAACTGCCTCACCTTCTCGCAGTACCTGGTGGTGTCTCTGCACTCAGCTGAGAAGGCAGGAGGGAAGGAAGGGGACAGAAAGGAGATGTGAGACAGAGGCTCCTGGACGCAGCTGCTGCTGAGCAGCCGAGGCCCTCGGCAAGATGCCTGTGGGGTCTACCTTAGCTATGGTTCTCCAGCCCCTTTGGACAGCCATCCCCCTGGCAGAGCTCAGCCCTTTGCCATCCCCCTGCCCACCTGTATGCAGTGGTGTGGCTGGCTGATGGGGGCTATCTCAAGGCCTTCTTTTCTTCCTCTTGTAAGCTATTTTTACTTCAGAATGGCAATTTTAATGTCCTTCCTCTTGGGATAATCTTATCTCCTTGCTTGTTTTTGCCCACCCATGGGCTTTTTGATATTTTAGTGAGAGATGGCTCCCTGAAGGACAGAACTTTATTCCTTATGAGAAAGCAAGCAAGGACCTGGTTGAAGGTCCATATCCTCAGGTGCTTGAACCTCTCCCTGTTCAGCTTTCTTTCCTTTATCTAGGCCTGTCTTCAGCACCCCAGCCCTTCCAGACACCACGGCATTCCAGTTCTTAAACACAGGTGCAGCCTAAATTTGGTAAGCTTTTTGTCTCCTTGCACTGCTGGAACTTTCTGAACATGGCAGCCATCTGACAGGAACATCAGCGCTTCACCAGAATAACAAGATCACACATCTCCAGTGAGTCAAAAGGGATGGGCCATGTGCCTACAGGCCATCAGTCTCAGTGTTGGCAACTGACTACCCGGTGAAGTTCAGTGAGGGGCAAAATTGGACTCCTAAAGTTACTTTTTATCGTCTATCCTTTGCAAAGCCTTATCATCCCCCTTTGTGGGGAAGTATCTCCAATTTGGGTTTGGGAGGAGAGACTAGAATATAAATACTGGTCTGTGGCTGACAGGGTGGAGGGAAAGAAAGGTCAGAACCCAGGGGCACATTCTCCTGTTCCTTTCCAGTGGACGTACATGGGCTGGGAAGGAGGGGTCAGCAGGTCCTGGTTTGGTGGGAAGCAGAACAGTGACAGGTGCCGAGCCGGCTGAGTGGTCTGCGTTCTGCATGCTTCCTCAGCGTTACCAGTGCTCTGTGGTTAGTAGCCTGGTCCCTGTGGACCACTGTTTAGTCTTCCCCCGTGCACCAGCCAGGTTGACGGCAGGTGAGCTGGAGGCCGATCTTATCCAGCCCTTGGCTCCCCCAGGGCTCTGGATGAAGACAGTGGGAGCCCCCGGGACACATCCTGGCATCTTTTGTGGTCTGAACATGCGTACACAATCCTTGCACACACCCATGTACCCCGCTTAAAGTGTTCCATCCTCAGGGAACTTGATCCAGTGCCCTGTGTTGAGGCTCAGTGCCAGGGATCGCCCTCTGAACCCGATGACCTGTGGGGAATTTGCAGAATGTTCTTTGGGATTGGAACGTACTGTTTTCACACGGAGTGATGTTGCAGCGCTGCCAGTTGGCAGGCCGGGGCCCCCAGGAACACAGGTGCTCGGGCACAGCCTTGTTGGTGCGGGCATGAACGCACTCCACTCGCCGGGACTGGAAGCCATAGTTGCCACAGGTTGCGGTGCATAGGGTCCAGAGGCTAACTCTCCAGTGTACACTGCAGGCTTCTGACCAGCAGTTTTGGGTGCTCACAGGCCTGTGGGAGGAGAATGGCAGAGTTTAGGCCTATCTCTGTGGAAACTAGCTATGAAAACAGACTACAAACCTAGAGATACAGGTAAGGGGAGGTCTTGATTTCTGCTCTTATAGTGAATGAATGGGCAGAAATCTTAAGGCGCCACTGTCCTGAACATCCATCTGCTCTTTTCTACAATTCTTCATGACCCAAGAACAAGCTCTACTGAGCATGGAGACTAGCAAAGGTAAAACTTGGAATCTGGTCTTGGGCTAACAGGTAGAGGAAAGGAGCCATTTTCCTAGGAGGTCATCTACAAGGGGGTACAGTAGGGACCAGGACTAAATAGGTACAGGTACAGGTTGAAACCCAGGCATAAAAGCCCTCATATTGACCTAACTTCTAGAGAGAGGCCAGCAAGATGCACTTGTGGAGCTCTGGTGGTCTGATGGCCAAGGGGTAGGTGGCTCTTTGTCACCTAGAGATAGGCATGGATTCCTTGTGGAGTCCTTTCTGAACCCCACTTACGTGTGCTTCAGCCCTGAGAGAAGAAAGTCCAGTCTGGCTTATTCAACAAACACAAGTGCACTGTTTGCAGGAGGCAAGGGACTCAGGGTAAGATGGAGGAGGGCAGGAGATCTGACTCCTTCTGTGAGACTGGAGGAGCAACCACATTCTTTCATCATGGTCTTTTTGTGCTGTTGATAGTGGGGCTAGGTAGAGGTGGACAAGAGCTTTGGCTTACCTGGGGAGGGCACTGCACTGTTCTGATGGTAAGGTGATGCCATCCCGGGTCTGGCAGAAGACTTGTCTGTGTTGCACAGCAAGGCGAGGGCCTATGCAAGGCCCATTGCACTGGGAGGGAAAGAGAGAGTAAAGCATTTCATCTATGTCTAAGGTGGAGGCCGTAATGCGCAGGCTACTCGGGGGGCAGGGTCATTGAGGAGGATCTCATTAGACCTGTGGCTGTTCTTTTTCATCTTTGGATCAAATAACAGATACTCACTGGCATGTGATTTATGCCACAATGGGGAAGTTAACTCCTATAGTTTGTGGGCATTGTGCTAGGGAATGACAGGGAAACTGTAATATAGACCAGAGAAGGCTGACCCAGATTAACCGGTGAAATTACTGTGTTGGGATGGTGGTAAGCTTCAGAGACGAAGACCCTCAGTACCCTATGTGGTCACAATGATCATTTTAAATATTTAAAAATAACTTTTTTTTTGGTTGAGTACAGTGCATGCAAAGCAATGTGAGTAAAACAAAAATACTGCAGTGAGTCCTCAGAAAGACTCAGAAAGTCCTCAGAAAGACATAGAGGTGTGACCTGTTCATGGTGCTACCATCTCTTTAGAAGGGACCTGTTCTTGGCTTAGCACACTGTTGACCATTACTGTATTTGGTTAGAAGACTGCAAGTTATGTGTTCCGAGCTGCGTACGGGTAAAGGAAAAGCAAACAAGGAAAACACATCAAGTAACTCAGCAGCCTACTTCCACCCTCTCCTCTCCAGACACAACTGATGCCAAGGTTGAAAAAGAATCACTGTTCCTCTATTTTTGATATTTAGTTTCCTTATAGATTTGTAATTATAATTAATAAAAACAGTACTGCTACAAGCATCTTTTGGGTGCTGCTTCATGCTTCTGAGCATGCGACTTTGTTGGGTATGTGTTTGTATGGACGCACATGTCCAGGTTAGAGAGACATTGTCTACTTAGGTTTACAAATGCTTTTGTTTATTTCTTCTCCCACCACTGGTAGATGGGGTTTCCATTTGGTTGAAATCGTTGGAATTTCTTGGATGGTTATCTATTTTAAACATTAAGCATTCTACTAAGTATATATTAGTGTCTCATCTTGGCTTTATTTGTATCCCCCTTTCTACTAAAAATATTTAATACATTTTTATCAGATAACTTTTCACTTGGATAAAGTCTCCCCCCCCCCCCCAGTTTTTTCTATCTTGTTCCTTTAGTGTCAATTATTTTATGTTTCTTGTGTGTTTGGACCCTTGCTTAGATAAGGGTTTTAATTATTTTTCTCTCTTACGAAGTTCACCTCACTCACTCCACTAATGTCTTCTCATAAACACCAAACTTTGACTTAGTTCAATTTATTAATCACGATCATGTGTTGATTTTAAGTAAATTATTCTGTTTTATACTATTATTCTGCCACATATAGTCACTTGTTACATAATGATGGAGGCATATTCTAAAAAAATTTTGTAAGTGATTTCACTGTTATGCAAATATACTTAAACCAGGATAGCTATGACCTCATCAGGTGATAAAATATTTAATTAAGTGTGTGTGTGTGTGTTTGTGTGTTCACCATGTCTGTTCAGGAGGCCAAAGACCTCCTTAGACATGGAGTTACAGGTGTTTGTGAGATATACAGATGCTGGGAGCTGGCTCTGTCTTCGCTGAGCTCTCCCAACCATGAAACTCTCCAACACAGATGATATAATCTTATGGGACCACTATTATATGTGATGGTTAGTCACTGGATGTAGTATCATAAATAGATACATGAATATGTAGCTTTGGTATCCAGAGCAGAACTGTTATTCTTGGGGCATGCAGTGATTGTTTTTCATTTTTTTAATTATTAATTCTTTGGCAATTCCATATATGTGTATAGCAAATTCTAGTTACATTTTTCCCTCCACCATTTCCTTTGTTTTTGCTTTCTTTTTAAACTTTTGAGGAACTGACAGTAGTTAAACTCCACAGGTGGCTAAACCATATTTTATCACTTATGGACAAACACACTAAAAATTCATTTTCTTTATCCTTACTAACCTTTTTTTTTCCCCCTCCTGGTGCAGAGGATTGAATGCAGTCCTTTGTATATGTTGGGTGAGTGCTCTACCATGAGCTACTGCCCCAACCTACAACTTGTTATTTGATAATCATCATCCTAATCCCTAAGGATTTGTTAACCTCTGATCAGAAGCATTGATTTGCAAGTATATTCTTCTATGTATAGGCTGCCTTTCACTCACTCAATAGTATCCTGTTGATGTGCAAAATTCCTTAATTTTGATGTATTTCTGTTGTCTGGTATGGTTCAAATAGATTTTAGTTTTCATGTTTGAAATTTAACATTTTCATATGTTAATAGTATTTGGGGGGGTTGAGTGGCCTGGAACTATGGGAGATAAGGTTAGATGAGGTGTTCAGGGTGGTAGCTCTCTGATGATATTAGTAGCTTTGTAAGAGTTGAGCTTGCACACTTGCTTTCTCACAGGTTGTGCCTGACATGGCAGAAAGAAGTTTTACCACATAGGCACCAACCCTTGATAACGCATTTCACAGTTTCTGGACTGTTAAGAAAGAAATGTATTTTTAAAAATAAATTATCCATATGTGAAATTTTGTTACAGCAACAGAAATGAACTGTCATATCTAAGAAATTATTGCCAAGCCCGATGTCCTGAAGGACCCCTTTTGTTTTCTTCTAAAAATTTTATTTTTAAATAAAATTTATATGGTATAAGGGACTATCATCATTTTTTTTTTACATTACTCAACATCAAATGTTGAAAATGATTTTCCCCCCTACTAAATGCTATTGGCACTCATGTGAGGGTTTAGTGTTGGTTTTTTTATTTTTTTTAAAAGCTCTGAAACACAAATTATATTGCATGTTGAATAGAAATGTGTGGGTAGCTAATTCCCACAAGTTTAACATTTCTAATTGCCTCAAAACATTCCAGGATCACACCTGGCTAGTCAGAAAAGTCATTCTGCCAATTAGTGCCAGTCCCAGACAAACCAAGACAGACAGATGCTCCTCCCTGTCGTTGGGCACCACCTGAACATCAGTCTATTGGTCTTTCCTACATGATAAATCCCCAATGTTTCTTGAACACAGAGTTTGGGAGGAAAGTAGATATACAATGATAGTAATTCCTACAAACACCTCTACACCCAATTCTTGTGCATGTGAACAACAACAAAGTAAAGTTGGAGAGTGTGACTTCGGGCCATTTGGTGAATTAGGTATAAGAGTAGCGTGACTACTCTTTTAGTATATAATATAGGCCTTATGCCAGGACAGAGGTCTGACAGGTATGCAAGCCTCACTTGAACCAGACATAAAAGTGCAACCAGGACCATACTCCCCTTGACTTCCTTCCTCTCATCTCTAGAGTCTTTTGTTTGTGTTGGTGTCCTTTTAAAATCACAACTAAACACAACGCTTCTTCTCAGTGGATAAAAGTTAATATGGTGCCTCCATTATATCTAAAGAAGACCCCGGTTCTGGCTTCTAGACAAATGGGGCCACTCTGTTGATCTTGTGATGGTTAACCTTAACTTTTGAGTCTAAATTACTGTGCTTAAGAGATATATAAAAACCTTTTAAGTCTTACTTGCCCAAGGACAGACAGCTTCCCAGAATGCTGGGAGCTGTTCTTGTAATTTCCTAATTTTATACAATTTCAGTGAATCTGTTGTTCACGTAAGATAACAAACCATGTATTTTTGCAGATTCTTTAAACAAGCTTGCTTGCTATGATTTCACATCAGCAGGACGTATGCTTGACTGCGTGTAGGTGGGATGTGTCCTCGGTTACATGTGGGCAGGAAGTACATCAGGATGTGACTTGCTCCTGATAGCATGAAGAAAGGAAGTATTCAGCCTTGTGAGTTTTACCTTTATAAGCTCCTTGACTAATGTTATTTGGAATTACACCTTGGGAATCTCAAGTGTTGAGTATAGACCTGGCACCAGTATCTGAATAAAGCCTCTTCTTTGTTTAAAGCTTATTGAAGTCCTTCCTCTTTGCCTTTCGGCATAGGGATTGAACATCTTAGCCAGAGTCCTCCCTCTTGATTAGTTTCTTTAGGTGTACAGATTTTTGTATGTTTTTCCTATATTATATATCTATATGAGTGAGTATATACCGTGTGTGTCTTTCTGCTTCTGGCTATCAGCGGACTTGGGAAGGGGAATGGGTGCAGAAGGGGGAGGGAGGGTGAGATTGGGAGGGGAGGCTGGAGGGAGCTACAGGGGGATACAAAGTGAATAAACTGTAATTAATAAAAATACACATAAAAAATACAAAAAAAACTTATCGATGGTCAGACTAGTGAATCTCTGAACAACTCCAGACCCCTTGCAATCTCACTTGGGACTGTCCATGTTAACATCTAGGCAGAGAACTGCGGAAAGAGGCATAGGTTTTAAGGTGCGTCAGCTAGGCTTCTTCATCCTTTCCTAGCTTGGGATAATGGTTTTCTACCCCAGGATGCAGATCAGAACCACGAGGACAGTTTCTAAAACCTGCACGAGTCTCACTGCAGTGTGGTTGACTTAGACCATTTTTATTCTGTGGAACTGGTGGAGAAACCCGGCCCAGGGCAACGGTGCAGTCTCCAGGAGGTTCTCCTCTCAAGTTCCCAGGACCATCTCTAGTTCAGTTAGAGGAAGTGGCCTTGAGGAATGTCATCCTGAAGATAATATATGGGGACCCAATGATGCTAGGAGGATGGGAGATCTTAGGGTCACAAAGTCAAAAGGAAAAACCAATGGACCTGAGGAGTGGGCTTAAAGCCTCAGAACATCCTACACCCATTGGGACAGGGTTTTTATCTATAGACCTTCCTTCAAAACAAAGCAAAACAAAGCAAAACCAAAAACAAAACCAACCAACCAACCAACCAACCAACCAACCAACCAACACCTCTTTGACTCCTCACCTGGCCCCAGCTGGAGAAAGCCCATTCCACACACAGCTGTTGGTTACAGGCCTGGGTGTCCACAGGCCGTTTGGCCAGTTGGGCACACATGTCGTTGGGCACTGGGGTAGATATCCCAGAAGCTTTCAACTTCTGACAGGTCACCCTGCGGGTCTGGACACCTCCACCACAGCTCCGGGTACAGGGGGACCAGGAAGTCACCATCCACCTGGGGAGAAGAAAGAGCATGAGGGTACGCCTTACTACAGAGGGTAAGGCTGGGGGAAAAGGAACCTTTCTTGTCTCTCTCAACACGCACAGGTGTTGGTATGAGGGCTATTTCCCCAAGATTTACTCAGAAAAATGCAAAATGTCCACACAGTGTCTCTGGAACCTGTGAATGCTAACTTGTTTGTAGATACGGGCTTTTTGATGCTTGCTTGTGAAATAGGGTCTCATTACATAACTTACTTGGCTTTGAACTTGTCATGCTTCTGCCTCGAGTGCTGGAGATATAGGCATGCACCATAGTTAGGATTTTGAGATGAGATTATATGAATGGACCCTATAAGCCCTTATCAGAGGGAAATACATATCGGGGAGATGTGTCAGGCTGACCAGGGAAGAGGAGCTGCGGCTTTATGCAGTCACAAAGCAGGGACGTAAGAGGTACTGGAATGTGAGAGTGGCAAGGAGCAAATTTGCTCCTGCAGTCCTTCTAAAGGGCACATGGCCCCATGGATGCCTTGATTTCTGGTCTTCACCATGGAGTTTTATAATGCTATCTGGATATATATATTTTTTTCCTTACAGCTCCAGAAAATTAATAAAATCTGGACGTTGACGAGAAAAATAATATTTTGAGGTTGGGTTGCTTTCAGTTGCCCCAAGCAAGTGAAAGTGCACGTGAATGCTTTTAGGTGGTAACCCACTCTGCAGCATTCAACCTAGGACACTTTCCTCCAAAAGCCAGAGCCAAACGCCTGTTGCCTCTCGGTGTAGGACATTAACCTGGGTTTCCCTGAAGTCTGAAGTTTTGTCTGGAAGTCCTCTGGTCACTTCAACCCTTGCTCCGGTGGATATGTTCGTCTTTCAGAAACAAAGATCATTCTAGATTTCTCGGGTAATTCCTAGTTAGTAAGTCATATATCTTGGGGAGCTTTATGTGTAGTCTAAAAATCCATTCTCAACTATAATTTAAGTCCCTAGAAGTAAAACTGACCAAAACTATGACAAACGAGCTTTTCTCATAAAGCCATTCTGTAATCTGGGGACACTGTGAAGTCCTTAGTCCATTGCTGTATATGTAACGATGCAAGAGCCCTTTCCTGAAAGACTGGGAAGCAGTACCAGGCATGAGGCTTTTCAGCCGATTACACAGGAACACTGCCCTGGTTCTGTTACCTGGAGTCTGGGGCTAGAACTGTAAAGTAGAGGGAACAGCTGCCTGAGTTAAGGCTGACTTTGGAGGATGGTCCGAGCAATGCCTATGTGTGTGTGTACAAAGGAGGACACTAACGTGGCCCTCAAGCCTGACTGGCACTCTAGTCAAATGGAAGCCTATGGGGCTTCCCCACCTAGTGGGGCCACAGAGGAGAGATTCTGCCCTGCTTCAGGATCCGCAATTGACTGTTTGTGGCAATTTCTGTACTTTTTGGACTGGGGCAGATGACTGTATGTGGATTTCTAGGCCAAGGAAACACTGAATTTAGGAAGTAGGAACAAGGTGTTTCAAAGCCTCTGGAAGCACTGAAACCAAAGATGAAATGGCCATTACTACTTCAGTTGCTGAAGTACATTGGGCTGATTAACTCTGACCATCACCAAATCAAATCACAGCGCTCCTGGCACATAAAAGATCTCTTCTTCATTTCACGCAGCTTGGCAAGGGCAGTCTTCCAGATCCTCCTGTCCCTGGTGAATGTCAGGCCAGCATTTCAATCAACTTTGATTTCTCAATATACATTTCAGTGGTGTTTTCAGGAGCTGGGGTGGGGGTCTTGAGAAAGGAGAGCTATGGGCTACATTACTGCTCAGGAAGGGTATAAAAGGACATTAATCATTCCCGTGGAAGCCTTCCCGTCAGCAAGTCAAACTGCTGATATTAATGAGTGTTTCATATTTCATGGAGTCTCTCCTAGTCTCAGCTGCTCCTTACGACTCAGCTGGCAAAACACAGAGCAGTTCCTGAGGAGTATAGGAAAGTCCTACAGACAGGTCATAAAGGGGCATTGGAGGTCCTAGCCAAGTCTCCCAGGGTGCAGAGTGCCATGCTGGTGCCAACTCCAACCCCATCCATTATCCTTCAGCTACTGCCTGAAGATGTGGGGATACGAGCTCACTGGGACTTGTGGCTTCTCAAAGCTGGAGTTACATGTGAGAGGATGAGATGTTGGGTGTCACTGTAGCCTAAATATGGATCTCAGATGCAGAGACTATACATCCAGAGTTAAGGTGACTACAGAAAAATGGAGATGTATTCCAACTTTAGTGAGATGCAACTATTTGTAAAAAGATAAGTTTTTGTATCAAAACCAGAGTACTGACTAGCAGAGGTATTTAGACAGAAGGAGGAAAGTTGGGGTAGAGCTCAGTAGTCCTCGTCCTTTCAACATTTCAAAAGAAAATATTTTTTTAAACAGCTCAGAGAGTCAGGTTATTATTGCAGGATGGGAGTTACCTCTGGCCCTACCCTGGGAAGTATTTCTTTACTGAGCAGACTCTTAGGCCTTGAACGCCCAAGTAGCCAGCACCTGGCTGAACGGTGAGAGAATGAGTGGAGCTGAAAGCAGAGGTCTGCTCTGAGGATACTTCTAGTATGGTGGATGGGTGCCTATGGGAAGGAATGGCTCCTTGATTTCCATCTCTTCCAGCATGGTGATAGATGACTGGCTCAAAGTAAGGGCCAGTGGTTGGGGGAAGGATGGGGACACTTACCGAGAAGGACAGTCTCTCCGGTTGCAGGCAATGGGCTGCACAGCAGGCCGAGGCTTTCCTGCACAGTGCTCGGGGTCAACTTCCGTGTTGTTCAGCAAACACTTGAGGCGGGGCTGGTGAACCCCTCTATTACCACAGGATGCTGAGCAGGTCACCAGTCTATCCACAGACCACCAGTAGTCTGTCACAGGAGGAGGATCAGAGGGGAAGAGAAGCCCGTGTTACTGCCCATGCTAGTCCTATGGCAGAAGGTAGATGGGGGTGGAAGAACTGACAGGTGCTATTTATTATACAATCAAGCCACCTGCCGGGGGGGGGGGCGCAGGGCAGTGATATTCCAACAAACGTGGGCAAGGAACCTCAGTCAGCTCATCTAGAAGAAGAATTCAGTTCCTCTCACCTAATCACCTCAGGACTGTGAGGACTGAGCAAAATGGAAGGAAAGGCCCCAGCTCCATGGAGTACCTGGCACACAGCATTCAAACAACGGCTGTAGTGCTTATTATTTTTAAACGTACTTGCTCAAGTCCCCCCCACCCCCCTTTTTTTTTTCTCTCTTCTGGTTCACCAGACAGTGACTTTATTTTTCTAGAGAGAGAGGCATAAATATACCAAAGTACTTATTCATATCCAAAAGCACAGACTTGAGATGGATTTTTGCAAATTTTACGAAACACTATTTATCCAGAGAGTTCTCGTTTACACGAGACAATGATGTAAGTGAAAGAGTCCAGTTCTTTGGTTTTTCTGTTTGGGGACCTGTGACGGGCTGGGGCCGGGGAGGCTGTTAAAATAAATGTAGGCTGCTATATTTTTTGGTGCACGCTTTTGAGTGCTGTGCTAGATCCCCGAAGATAGGCAGTGAGCAGAGGGGACCTTTGCTTTTGTATTTGGAGAGCCAAGTGGTAGGGGAGGTTTCTCCAGCACATGTGTGCTCAGAGGAAGCTCCCTCCTTTCGGGCAGTACTAGGAAGAACAGGCCATCCTCCCCGAGGAGAGTCCTGGTCTTGGGAGTGTACTCCACAGCACTTCCTTAACAGAGTCATATACAGCGACCCAGCCAATGGAAAGCAGCCTCCCACATTCCATAGAGGGGCCAGCCCGGGCTATCTTCATCTCATTAGCAACTCTGGCTGGTGCAGAGGCTGTGGACTTGCTGACCTGCTTGTATTCCTGGAAGGCTCATGCCTGAGGCACCCAGGCGAGCTGCTCTTTTTTTTTTTTTTTTGTCAGCGCCAAAAGAAAAGCCCTTTGCATATGACTATGGCTGAACCCCCTGGAATGTGAGGGGCCTGCTCTGCTTTCTGCAGGTGGAAGGCAAGTGACCAAGGTGGTTAGGTCAAGCAGAGAAGACATGGATTGATTTTTTTTTTTTAAAGTACTGTGTGTGGTCTTTCTTAGTTAAGTCAGCTTAAAGGAAACACGTGTAACCCTGATAAGTAGTCATGGCTTCTCCGACCTGACTTTTCCAGGTTCCAGCCACTCAACTGAAGGCCGTGGTGGCGGAAGTAAGGTTTCACAATACAGAAACGTTACTAACCAGAGACTAGGTCACTATGTTCTACCAGAGAATGGATTCCCAAGTCAGTCTGCTGCTCAAAGGCTGGGGATATCTCACCTTGGATCACCAAATATGCCTTTTGCATGAGCGTTCCTGCTTCATTCTGAGCCAGGCAGCTGAACTCCCCCTGAGGTCCTCCACTGAGATTTGCAACATGGAGGATCTGTCCAGCCCCCAAGATGTGGTGGGTCAGCCCTGGGGCAGAGGCAATTGGCTGGCCATTTTGGAACCAGGTGATATTGGGGGTGGGGTGGCCTTTGATGGGGCAGCCTAGAAGAAGAGAGAAGAGAGTAATTAGCACAGCCAATAAAACCCCCATTCCTGGTGAGTTCAGGAGTGTTTCCATGGTGCTAGGAACTGTATACATGCCATGGCTTTATTGATTGTATTTTTATGATGCTTGCTTTTCCCAAGGAAAAGGGGGTGTTTTCACTCTCTAGACTTCTGGGAGGGCAACTGTTCATCATTTGGTTCAATAAAAATGCTTGAAGAACACAAAGGGACTATTTTCTCCTCCTGCCTCTATGCTAACTTCTAAAACAATGGTACAATTGGTATTAATTCATTGAAAAGCCTTTTCCTGGTAGGTCTTCAACTGATTCACCAATTCATTTATAAAGGAAGTTTTTCTTCAAATGTTGGGGAAGCCCCCCCGCCCCCAATATTCTTAAAACTTAAGACTGAAACTTTTACCAGTTAAAATCTAATCCCTGATGCTGTTACATTAATTTGAAGTAATAGATTTTCAGCAGACACTAGGAAGATAATTTTGTACATTGGCCTCATTTGTCCACAAATCAAGAGCCTTGGTCTTTTGATGGCTCTAAACCAAGCATGGATTAGATATGTGCAACCTTACTCTATGTGGTTACAACATATTTTGATGCATTCGAATTCTAAGATATTAAACTGAACACATTACAAAATTGGTAAAATAGATTGCCATTGTGAGGAGAAACATTTCCTCTGACCTTGGAACGCTTGCTGCATTTGCTGTTGTAGCCTTGATGGCTTAGCCTCGTTAAGCAAGTTATTTTTAAAGCTCCCAGAGCATGTAGAGAAACTGAGGTTTTCTTTCAGTTCAAGTATCTGCTTGCTACCTCCAGCTCTGGGGACTGCAGAGGAAGATGGGACCACCTCCTCTCTTCCGAGGAATTAAGGAGACAAAGGAATGGTGACTTTGGGTGCAGGAAGAAGACCTGTAGAGAACAGCGTAGAGAGGAAGGATGGAGAGGAGAGTATGTGGGGGAAGAAGAGTCGAGTGCAGTGACATGTGCATGCGTGTGTGCTCACACACGCATGTACACATGGGCATGCGTGCACCTCCACACACCAATGAAACCCATTATTCTGTAAACTGAGATTTAACTAATGATTTCACAGAAGTTGCATAGTCGGAGACCTTATATTTCAACATCCCCAAGGTCTGGGAAGAGATGGAGAGGGCTGCAGGAAGGAGCAAATACAGGGATGGCCAGAATGGTATCTGACGCAGCTGGATGGTGAGGCAGGCAAGTTCACGTACTGTTTACTTAGTAAGCATCCACAATTACTCATAATCCATGTTTACTTTATTTCATTCATCATTCTTCAGGAATAACTTAATGTCTAAAAAATTGCTTTTTCCCATAGTGTATTCATTCAACTATTTTTTCCATAAGATTTTCAAAAAGTTAAAAATAATTGTCAGACTAGCCCATTTTTTGCAAGTGTCTTCTATAAAAATTTATTTATTTTTATTTTATATGTGTGTGTGCCTAGTATCTTCAGAGGTCTGAAGAGGGTTGCAGATACCCTGGAACTGGAGTAATGGATAGATGTGAGCCACCATGTTGGTGCTGGGAACTGAACCCAGCTCTTCTGCAAGAGCAGCCAGTGCTCTTAATCACTGAGCCATCTCTCCAGCCCCTTCCTAAATGTTCTATAGTTTACTTCAAAGTTCTTAGTGGTTCACTTTCACTCAGCTCTGTTGGAGTCAGAGATCATTTTCACTCTGTCACCTTTGATTCTGAGGATTTTGTCTTGGCTGCTCTCTATTACGATGCCGGGCACCCCTTTCTATCTGATTTTTTTTTCTTTCTCAGAGCCAATCAAGTCCTGAATTACAAATGAAATGCTGGGTCTGAGGCGTAAGAACTTCAGCTCCTAGTTTCTTTCAGGGAATGGAAAGGGAGAGTTATGGTATAGAACAAAATGTCTAGTGCCTTTCCCCTCTCTCCATTCTGCTAATGAGGGTGTGCACAGCCAGCCAGCCAGCCAGCCAGCCATTCTGTTGGCATTCTCTGCTGGGAAGAAAAGGGCAATAACCCTGGAGGGATGCCAGAGCCATAGAGGTGGGAAGCAAGTTTGCCCCTGAACAAACTGGGTATGTTGCCAGCCCAGGCTGGGCTGTCTTCCTCTATACCAGGACTTGAAACGGGAAATGTCCTTCAGGGTTAAGTTCTACAGGCTAGGCACACGGCGAAGGGGACCAACTCTTGGTGTCCGCTCAGTAGGCTTGGAGTCAGCTCCACGTGGACCTAGTGCTCGGACTCAGGGGTTGGTTGGCTGGTTGGATGAACATGGGTGGATGGGTGGGTGTGGAAAATGGCCCTGGGAATGGTCCTGCAGTTCAGGTTGGATTGTAAGGAGGTGTGGGCATTTGAGGTCTTTGTTACAGGTTGTTGAATACACAACTAACTAAAGCATTCTTAAATTGCCTTAACCCTCCTAAAGCCATGTGCATTTGGTACATATGTGATGGTATTTCTTCCACATCAAGACAGTGATCACAGGTCGTGGACTTTTAGTGTTTGAGATTATCCATCTTGAATTGAAAATTTCTCTTAGGAAAGTCTATCTTTGGTCTACTTCTCATAGACAGACACACACACACACACACACACACACACACACACAAAAAAAAAAAAACATGAATTCTAACCAAAGTAAATAAAAAAAGAAATGCCTGTCACCCACCTTTCCTATTACTGTTTGTCTTTCAGAAGTTTTGACTGTGCACACAGGTATCTCTTAAAATGTCCTTTGCATACAGAAGTACTGTTCTTAGTGCCTATGCAGTACAGGCCCCTGAGCTTTTATGTACATATTTATGTGTGTGTCCCTGTGTGTGTGTCATGGTCCCCAAGGATTGCCAGAGGCAATAGTCAAAATAAGAGTCTAACATGAATTCCCACTGTGTATGTTCCCAGTGAATAATTATCCATGTTTCATTGCTAATGAGAAAACCTGGCTTGTAACAGGGTTCCCTTTTGTCACGGATATTTCTCATTTGTTAAGGTAAAGGACATATCAATCATTTCTTTTTGAAGCGGAGCACTCTCTCTGTGTGCCATTTACAAGGACATCCAGAACTCTGCTATGTATTCCATGCTTCCAAAGAGGCCAAATAATAACTTCCAAATCCCAATTCCTGCACGGGTGAGAAAGTTAGTAGTAGTTAATGCAGAGGGTATGAGGAGGGGCAGGAATCTCCCCTGCCTTCTTCTCAACTCTGTAAGTGCCAGCTCTTTCCATTCTTCAAGCTTCAGCGCCTTCCAGAGGAAATGGACAATCAGAGGGACTGACAGTACTAATTCCATAGACCTCAACTTTTGAAGAACTTGGGTTGTGAGGTGGCTGAGGGGGAAGCAGTATTTGGGAAAGCTGCCTAGTTAATGAGAGTTCTGGCATTGGAAAGCCTCCCTCGATCAACCCTTCTTAACCAGAGAATGAAAACGCTGCCTTCAGGCTTCCATTCCTAAGCCCACTGTAGTTCTCAGATGAGCCAAAGCTAGTTGTAATCACACAGATGAAGTTTTGCTCTTCCAGTTTTCATCACCACCATCATCATCTCCTCTTCTTCCTCTGATACACTGACTTGTGCAGTGGACAATGTTTAGAGTGAAGATGTACCAACTAAGAAAAAATTATATAAAAATTCTTATTTCTGGTTACTCTGAAGTGTATGTAAAACTGAGTCTCCTCCTAATGCCTGTAATACCCCTGGACATTATAGGATGCAAGTAAGAGATCAAAGAGTATTTGTGTGTAGGAAGCATGTGTCAAAGGCTGAGGAATTCTACATCATTTGCTCCACATCTGGCAGAATCAGTGGGCTCTAGCAAACCCAGGAATTCAGTCCAGCTGACAGTCTTGCTTCTAGTAAATGCTCCTCACTGACTTTCATTAGCTCTGCGTCCTGATTTTTACATTGGTTTTTTAAGAACTGTAGTAGCCTGTCCCAGGGAGACAGCCCTAGTTTGACAAGTGAGGGAAACCCTGGGTGGCCTGGTGGCCTGGTGGCCCTGGCTTCCAGCTTCCTTGCATGCTGTATACATAGGACCTTACAGGCGATGTGATGAGGCTGCTTTCGAGGCACTGAACTCACAGTCATCATTACTCGGTTGATTTTTGTTGTTGCTGTTAATTCAAAGGGCTGAAACCCACCAGAAGCTTGCTTCGTGGGCTCCTTTGTAGGTCTTCAGATTCATTAGCTGTCTCTCACTTGAGTGAGCCACATATCTAGAGTTGATTTTTGTGAGTTCTGAGCCTTAACGAGCAGAAATAAGGATTCAGAGCACATATCCTTCCGTCCCTTTCTCCAGGGAAAGGAACTAAAAACAAACAAACAACCCCCCCCCAAACAACAAAAACCCAACCCAAACAAACAAAAAAACTCAAAAAAAAGGGGGGGGAGCTAGCTTAGGTTGATACATCAATCACACAGAGCAAAGACCATACCTGGGCTTCAGGAGTTTATAAGGAAGAAAGTTTTGGAAATGGGAATGTATAGTCCAGGGAGGAGAAGAAAGCAGTGCTGGGAATTTTCACTTATTTCATTGTATCTAAAGAAAGGGAAGGCTGTGGCAAGTTGGGACATGCTGTGTAAAAATATTAAAGACGTGGCATCATTACGTCATGAGCTGGCTCCAGGCCTGTCAGCATTTTCATTATAATTCTGTGTTTTTCACGGAGTTAAAATGTTACTATAAAAATGATGTGTGTTGGGATGAAACTTGGCACTCGGTATAGCCAGTCTGGAAGTCCTTTCCTTAATTTAATTTTATAAAACTGGAAAACACTCAGTCGGTACTTTAAAATTTATAGAGGCCTCTCTGGTCTGCCAGTGGTCTGAGCGGGTGTGGGGGACCAGGCTAGGGCCATGGGGTGACCAACCAAAGCAGGCACGCTACTTCACTGCCTTTTCTGGACCCTGCTTTTTTCAGCCTGGGTCCCCCTGGGCAACAAGTATGGTCTCTAAACTAGCAGAGAGTGGGTGGGAACTGGCA